ATGATAGAATGGTTTGGGTTGGAAGAGACCTTAAAGATCATCTAGTTCCAACTCCCCTGCTGTGGGCAGTGACCCGTGGATGAGCCCATCTTTCTGTATGAGCTGAGGAGGGAGTTAAATGCTTTGGCTTGAATGGAGCTTTGGCTCCCAGGCTTCTGGGCTGTGCCCCTGGGTGGGAAGCAAGTTGTCACCATTGTTCTTAATTAGAAGCCAGTCTGTCTTTGGTAGCAGTAGACTGGGGAGGAGGGCATCTGTGGGCTTGGGGTGGGCACGTGTGTTCTTTGTGGGTCAGGGAGAGAAGTTGCAACTGGAAGCTTGCAGGAAAACTGTTCTTTGATCCAGGGGGAATCTGCTGATCCTGGGGTGGTGCTTCTCTTCCAGCCACCCATGGGGGAGGAAGGTGGACACAAGAGATATCCGACGACATCAGGGGGCGACGGCAGGAAGCGCTACCCATCCCAGTCTTCCAGCAAAACGGTCAGCCAGTGCCCATCCAGCCAAGCCCACGCCTCACCCAGCCAGCCTGCACAAGAGGATGCCAAAAACCTGAGCCAGCAATCCCCTGCCCCGGCAGCTGCAGAATCGCAGACAGTGGGGAAGTAGAGAGGCTGCAGCATCTGCTTCCTGCCAGGGGATGGGGTGGGTTTGTGGGGGACTGGCTCGGAGAAGGGGAGACATGAGGAGGTGAGACAGGAAGGGAGCTGGAAGGTGGGTGCCCAGGAATAGGCTGCTCTGGAGAAACCTTCAACGCACACTATTTCTTTTCTCTTGTGGCTGGAAAGCAAGGATGATCTGCATCTGAAACACCATTTTGCTATTACAACACCATGACCAGAGCCAGACCCGCTCCCAGCAGACCCAACCCTTTGCTTTCCCTTTTCTCCCCTCCTGTGCGCACACTCATGTCTTGGTGTCTCTTCAAACAAACAAACACGTTCTGGCTGGGTTTAGAAAGGGGAGATTTTTTTATTATTATATATATATATCAAGTTTTAAATTATTGCTAGAAGTTTGTCTGGATTTACCAAAACAAGTCTGCTCTGTGCGGCCCCAACGCCTCCCCTTCGTGTCCCCTCTCGCATCGCAGGGCAGCCCGCTCAGGAGGCTCGGAGGAGCGAGGTTCCCTATGGGGGACCGATGCCACAGCGATGCTGCGGAGCCTCTGATCTCCATGACCTGGCTGACATCTCCCATTCCACGTACGGCGGTGCCCCTCCGCCGCAACAGGAGCATCGTCCTGTTCGTTCTCCTGGTCCCTCCTTCCCAGTGTTTTCGCCTCCAGCCTTCCCAAGGGTCTGGCTCTCCCTCTGCCCACCTCTCTCCCTTCTGTCACGGACAATTTGGAAGTCAACCAAAGGACCTTTGCCAAGGATAGGCTTGTTCTGACTCCTTTCCTGCAAGGACAGCTAGTGGGAAGCCAGCAGGTCACCTGGACTCGAGCCTGCATGGACGGCGCACCAGCTGCCCCAGGAATGCCCACTGCATGCAAAGACAGGACTTTGCTGGAGGTTTTTTTTCTCTTCCTTTTCCCTTGAAAAAAACGAAACAACAACAAAAAAATACCCAAAATCCCTCAAAAAAAAACAACAAAAAAAACTTTCTAAAGACACATCTCCCTTTGCTTTCTTCCTTGGAAATATTATTGAAGAAAAAAAAAACAACAAAAAAACCCAAAAAATAATTAAAAACAACAAAAAAAAGTTGCCTTATGGTGGAGCTGGCCCGGGGCAGCCGCTGGCTCCCTGCACCCCGGGGCACGCTGGGCTCCTGCTCCCCTCGGCCCAGAGACTCCTTCCGGCACTGCTGCCGAGCTGATCCTGCCCCGCGGCCTTCCCTCCAACCCCGCAGCTCGCCCGGAGCCCCTGCAGCCCTGCTCCTCACGGGGGAAGCTGCCGAGGACAGTTGAATCCAAGACTTGTGCTCGCAAAGTAGTTGAAGCCGCTCCGTTGTGTATAGACCATTGTAGCATCCTCCCTGCGACTGCACGTGCTGGTGGCCCCTCTCCAGGCAAGCTGGGGCTGGATGTGGCTCTGATCCTGTCTGTGTCTCCAGTGTGGTCAGGGGGGTCACAGCACCTTGAGGGACTGGTCCTTGCTGTTGACACAGGAGTGATGCAGCCGCAGGGAACCCATCTCTCACAGCATCACTGTTCATGGGACTTGTGCTGAGGGTGAGCTGGGGACCTGCCTGGCAAAGGAGAGCTCTTGCCTGGGTTTCCGTGTGCACCGTGTCTTGGCAGGCGGCTGCCTGGAGTCTGCATCTCCGAGGGCTGAGCTAACACCGTACTGCTCCTTGCTCGTCCGAGGCAAGGGCATGGCTGCAGAGCTGCTATGGCATTCCCTCGGTTGCTCTACCCAGCACCGGGTGGCTTTGGCAGGCAACCCCTCCCCAGGCACATGAGTTGTGTTCCCTCACATGGGGCTTGTGTTAGGGGGCAAGATCTTCTCCTGGGGCCCAGAAGTAGCACTGGAAAGTCGTGTTCCTACCATAAGGGTGGGAAGCAGCCACAGCCGCTTGCCTTGCTGCTGCTGTGCTCCATCTCCTGGGTTGGAATACCTGCTTTGCAGCTGGCTTGGTTGTGGATCTGGCTGGCACTCTGAGCTGCAAAGCACGCTCCTGTGTACAGTGTGGAGCAGATGGGCTACTTGGATGCAGCTAATTGCGTTACTCAATCTGCAGAGTCACAAGCTGGTAATGAACAGTGTCTCCCCTGCGTATCCAGCTGATGTGGAGTCTCATAGCTGGGAGGGAGGAGTGATCTCAATCCCTACACAGCTGCGAGGCTGATGGGTGAGCAGAGGTCAAGAGGGTGAGCTGGGGCAAGCTGTCCATCAGCGGCTCTGGCTGAAGTTGTCACCTCCCCAAACTGACACTGCGCCAGAGGTGCTGCTTTGGTGATGGGGCAGGTGGGGGGCAGCGTTGTGAACTGCTGCTGGAACTGAAAGCACAGCTGGGTTTGAGTGAGGGTAGCTGCTACGTTGCTGTTTTCCTGCTGGTGTGATCCTGCCCTGGTCTGTCCACCTCTGCCCCACCACCCTGCAGCTTGGTACCGCTCACAGGCCCTGTTTCAGCACACCAGTCTGTCGGGGCTTGCTCCATTACAGCAGCAGTGCTCTAGGATTGCAGGGTGGTAACTGGGCAAGACAGGCAAGTAATGCTTGTACAGTGCTGTGGCCATGACTGTTATCCCTGGGTTTCCCCTCTCTTGTGAGCTGGATGGAGTCAGATCTCTGAGGTTACGGATGCGGCCGGGTTTGCTCCAATCTGGGAAGGAAAAGCCTCAGAGATCGGGTTGATCAAGGACACTGGAGATGCGTTGCTGGCTGTCTGCAAGTTGAAGCGGGTCTGGATATGCCAAGGGTGGTCCTTGCTGCCGTGTCTGTGTTCCTTGTCAGTGCGTGTTCTCTTTCAAAGCCAACCCTCTGTGTTTTAGTCACAAATGAAATAGGAAGTGAGGAGGAAGGAGCTGCTGCTGTGGAGTCGGTGCTTGTGGAGCAGACTGTGGAATTGCCAGGTGGTAGAAGAGAGAAGACATTTCCCAGAGAATTTCCCCAAATCTGAATTGATTTTAAATTATTCTTTACTTTCTAAGGCTGAGGCTCTTGGCACAGGAGAGGTTTCCCCCGCTCTGCTGAGTCAGTGGTTTGTCGCATCAGTGTGGCTGAGGGCTCTCTGTGAATCCCCTCCCCTGTTTCCCAGGGGGAGGTGGATCAGGACATCAGTCCCAGCGGTCCCATTGCCCTCCAGCTTTGTGGAGCATGTGCCTTGTTTCACCGTGGATAGCAGTTTAGCCAGGGAGCCAGGGAAAGAAGGATGCGACAGCCCGAGGTAGCTGTGGCTTGCTCCCAGCTCTGTCTCTGGGCTGGTCGCATTGGGTTGCAATGCCCACTGGTCATAGCTCCACGGTGCTCTGGTTATGGCAGTGTCCTGCACCCCTGTGCTGCTGGTGGCCATGGCAAAGCCCCTGTGCAGCGTGTAGTCAGTGCCAGGGCTGACTGCAGCGAGGCTTCCCCCTGTCCTGCAGCTTGCATAGGTCTGCAGAGACACTGGACCTCGTGCTGCGGAGCTGCATGCGGAAGGCATCGCGCACGGCTCGCACCACCGCAGGCTGTCCAGAGAGGGGCTGTGCTTTGGAGGAAGCTCTTGCTCTCCTGTGTTAGGCCTTGCTTCTGGCTTGGATGTTTGCCCATGATCATATTTGTGCTGTGTTTAATCCTAGTGGTCTCGGTGGCATCCTTCTGTGAGCGCGGCTCCATCCCACAGCTCGCATGGGCTGCGTGGTGCTGGTGCCACCGGCACAGCCAAGGAGAGCCCTGGCTGCCCTCGGGCAGGCTGGGGGATGCAGAGCATGGGGAGCACTCCCCATCTCACCCCTCTTCCTGGGATGTCCAGGCTGCTACAGCCCAGGGCTCCTTGCAGGGTCAGCCTCCCTTTGGGATGCAAGCAGTTGCAACAGGTACGCAGCCCTGGCATAGGAGGTGTGTTTGGAGGGGGCTTTATTGCTTTGCCATATTCATCTGGGGGGGAGATGGGGGGGTATAAATTAAAGTAATAATCCTGCTGCTCCATTTGCCTGCCTGTCCCTCTTCTGCTGTCCCCCTTGCACCCCAGTGGTGCCACTGTAGCCCTCGGGGTCCCTCGAGTTAAAGCAACTGCTCATCTTGCTTGGGACTGGTCGATTGTACTGTAACAATACGATGTGTTAACCTCAGCATCCTGCCACGCATTCATACATACTCCGCACGGCAGAGCAGAGGGGGCCTTTAGCTGTTAATGCCTTTCCAGTTACCGTATCAAAAGGAAAAGAAAAAGGACAAAAAAAAAAAGGAAAACTGTACATGTAGCAAGCTGTGTTTGCAATGCTCATTTCTCCATCTCCTCCGAGGCTGGTTATGTCCCTTTGTCACTGTTCTGAAATGGATTGCTAGGCTCTTTTTTAAGAGAGGGTTGCTACACTTGGTGTTAAATGACTCACTGACTCTTTTCTTTGGGTTCCCCCCCCCCCCCAAGTTTCCAGTACAGGTAATAGATGGATTACTTCCTTTTTTTCCTTTTCTGTTTTTTATTGTAAAGACAACATTCATCTCGGGGCTGGGGGCAGCGTTTCAATGAGTAGTTTACAGTTTCACTTTCTGCAGACACTTGAACATAGGACCGATGTATCTGTGACAAGCACATCCCCTCAGTGGGAAGCTCCAGAGGGAGCAGGGAGCACCTTGGGTACCGCCTGCCCTGGGTCCCTGCACTGTCCCCTGTGGTTTACCCTCTGGGTGACAGCCCAAGTGGCACCTCTTGGTCCCTCAAGCCTCCCCGGAGCAGCCCTGCTCCTCTTCCTCCTGTCCTGGTCCCATTGGGGTTGGAAACCTTTGGATGCGTGGCTCAGAACCCCTCATTGAGCTGCGCGTTCACCTGGAGCAAAAGGGGTGTTTCCATGTGCTGGCCCTTCTCCAACCCCGTGTGTGTCCCAACCTCAGCCTTCTGTTCCCCCAAACTAGAAAGTGTGTGCAACCTTCTTCAGCTGCATTTATCGTAGAGACAAACCTAAAATGACTCATCACAGACCATGTATCACTTGGGAGGAAAAATCTTGTTAATATGGCCCTGCTGTACATGATCCATCTTCTGTCGATAGTACATAATCTTTGACCCATGTGCTAGGATCATCATCACGTATAAAAGGAAAAGAGGAAAAAAAAATGTAAAATACTTGAATGAGAGCTTGTATTATAACATTAATATTATTCAGAGTATCTGCTTTCTAGGCTGATGTGATTCATTATTCTAGTAATGCTTTAGTCCTTTGTAATTTGTGGTAATTATGCTTTTTCCTTTTTAATACAAAAAAAATGTATAAAAATAAAAACTTCAAAAGACAACAGAGCTGTGTTCTACTCAGCTGCGGGGGGGTGAGCAGTCTGCCCTGTGTGTGTGCCCCCGTTGGGCCTGGTCTAGAGGTGGTGAGAGATACATCACTGTTGCCCGAGGCCTCCAGACAGGATGGAGGCTTGAAAAGATCCTGGAGGACACTGGCAGCATCTTGGTTGTGTAGATAGAAACTGATGTGCATGAGGCTGTGTTCTGTTGAGTCCTTCCTTAGGGTTCCACTGCTCTCCACCCAACTTCTTCCCTTGGCAAATCTCTTTCCATAGGTTGTCACTGTACATTGATTTGGGTTGTGTCTCCTTAGGGTGTGTGGGGAATGAGATGCGGCTTAGGAGGAGGCTTCTGCCATGTCGTGCATCAGCTCCCGGCTCTCCTTCCCTGTCCCATGAGGGGAAACTCGCTGTTTGCAGGTGTTGGTTTGTGGAGCACAGATGAGGATGTGATTGCCCTTCCTTCAGAGCTGGCACAAAGAAACTGCTCAAGGGAAGTCAGACCTCCGCATGTGCAGGGTAAGGTGTTTCTGAAGCCCCGTGCCTTCTCATGGGGTTGCATCGCACATCCCAGGCATCCTGACTCTCAGAACAGAGGGTTTAATCCAGTGTAGTTACCATGATCTGGTTGGTATTTCTATAGAATGCTGCCAAGAGAGGCCAAAGCATAGCCTGTGAACACTGCAGTGTTAAAGCCATGAGAGCACCCCAGGAACTCCCCCCCCGTGGCCCAGAGCACATTGCCCCGGTGCAGGCAGCTGGAACCAAGCAACAGTGCAAGTAATGAAAACACTCAACTTTGTTTAAAAATAGCTTCCTAGAGCAGTGGTTTGTGCTTTGGGGAGAAAATAACAGCAGCAAAAGTGCAGTCATCTCAAGTAGTGTGTTTATGTTCAGCTTTGGGCTCTGCTATGTGTGAACAATAACTTGGGTCCCAATGCAAGTACTGTTTGGCACAAATCATTGTCTCTGGCTGCTGCCTTGGCTCACTCTGCCCTCCTGGGTGCGTCAGGAATGCTTTGGGAGAGCGGCGTGAAGCTGAGCAGGACCCTGTGTCTCTCGTAGGCTTTGGTCTGTCTGAACACTGTATCCGTTCCATGCAGGTAATCCAGCACTCCCAGCACTCCGTAGCACTGGTTGAACCTGGGAAATGGAATGAGCATCACTGGATGTTACTGGGGTTACCCTGACTTCCCCACTTCCATCTCTGTTCGGAGCCCTGATGATCCATGCAACTTCTGCCACTGAGAGCATCTCAGCTCTGCAGTGCTGACATGAGCTGAGCTTGCGGATAGGACTGCTAATGAGAACCAGCACTGTGGTGTGGGTGATGTTCAGCACTTGGGTGTTGATAGAGCTGTCATGCTGGCTCTTTCTGCAGGAGGGGCAAGCTGTTGAGGAGGAATATGTCTGAGCTGGGAGCACATGTGCGAGATGGGAACAGCTCTTGCACTGCTGTGGCATTATATCCCTGGAACAACCTGCTGGAACCCTGCTCTCTCCAGTGTAAGAGGTGGCCTGGAACCTCTAGGTTAATGGGGATTGCCTAAGCAAGGTGTTACCTGATCAGTGTTACTAATCCCCCTCTATGGGAAAGGGACAGAGAGGCTCCTGCAAATCTATTCCAGCTTTGTGGCTTGCCCTTGCTCTGTCTTCATTCTAGGTCACATGCAGTTCTCCTGAACTCCTAGGAAGAGCCTTGCACAGAACTGTCTGCTCTATGTTCATGATGGGGAAAGTCCAGTGGTAGCTGCTACTTCTACCCTACTATGTGCTTTGTTCCCATATAATCTCCAGGAACTTGGAATGCCAGCCTCAGCATTCATGCTTTGGAGGAGGTTTCAAAGTCAGCTGCTGGAGGAGGCTGGATGTCAATGAGGTGCCCAGCAGCTGTAGGGCTGGAGTCCTCCAAAGCCCTGGTCTCTTTAACTGCTTTAGGAACCAACAGCATTCAGCTGGCTATTGGGATGGGGTAAGCTTCTCCTATGCAGACCTATCTGACCCTCAGAAAGGAGCTTTGCAGGAGGGGAAGAGGGAGCCGAGCAGTGCCCAGACCTACTTGAGGTGGTGGAAGTCGTGGAACTCCGGTGACGGCAGGAAGGGCAGGTGGTATCCACAGTGTGAGATGCTCGTTGTTACCAGAGCAAGGGAGAACCACACTGCGATGGAAACGATGTGAGAGCCTATGAGCATCGGGCCGGTCATGGCAGGCAACATGTTGGACAGCTAGAAATGAATAGCAAACTCAGCTTTATTAATGGGTCCATGACAAGCAGATTCAAACACCTTACTAAAATCAGAGCAGCATCAAAGAAAGAATTAGTGAGCTGAGTTTTACTAACATAGTCCCACCCCAAGCTCTAAGCTTGTACTAGAAGTTAGACTTGAGATCAACCCACGGCTGTGAAGGCAGCATCATTCCAGTAAATCCCCCTGGAGCCTGAGGTCTGAATTTCATCTTGGAATAATCTGAAGCTGCTCTTGGGAAACCTCAGTGTAAAAGGGCAGAGCCTGTGCACATGTTCAACAGCATCAGTGTGATGATCCAGCTGCATCACCTCACTGTGTCCTACCAGTGGCATGAACGGCTGTTGCTGCCCAGGTCCTTGGATCTGTGCTCTTAAAGCATCTGGTATAAACAGATACTGCAACCCTTCTACAGACAAGTAGCACTTGACAGTGCAGCTGAACTTCCTAAGAAAGAAGTGCTGTTTAATTTGCTTTTCTTACCACTCCTCCACATCCCATGGAAATTACACTGTGCAGGGTGACCATGGGAGAATCCACTTACTATGTGCTCTACTGGGTGAGCATAAATGGAGACCACACCGATGGGGGCTGTCCATTCGTGGTGCTTCTTGTGAATGTGCTTATACAGGAGTGGGAGGTGAACAAGCCTAAGCAGAGAACACAGAGAAAGGCAGGGTCTGAGCTCTGCAGGAAAGGAACATAAGGTATCATAACACAGAATTGCTGCTGGGGACTTGCTCATACCCCTTCTAACATAACAATTTTGGAGCAGTGGAAATAAGAGTGTAGTTTTCCTCTCTGTATTGAATACTGTAGCCTTACTCAATTGATGTGCCCACTGGCTGATGTTAAACTTAAGTCCAGATAAGTCCCATAAATCAGTCCCTGAATGACTCTTGATCAACCTTGGGAGCACTCCTTAGGGAAAGACATGCTTTGTATTTTCACTGTTTTGACTTTTCCTGCTGGCAGCTACCAGAGTCAGAACTTCAGGTTCTGTGGGTTCTTTGTAAGAAATGGCTTTTTGAGTTTTTTATCTGTATTTGTCCAAAAGGGAAACCTATTGCTGAGAATGCTGCGCTTGCTCCTGCACAGTCTTTTGCAGGCTCTTTTCTTCCTTGCTTTAGTGCTTAGAAAGCCTGCAGTGTCAGCAGCCCTGTTCTGTAGGTGCCGTACAAGTGAACAGTACCTCAGTCATTGACCTCCTGAGCTTTTTTCTTTCAGGACAGTCAGTCTTGTTCTTCTCTTTTCGAGGAACACTGGGTCACAGCTTTGGTGTAAAGCTGTCAGGGCTGTTTCTTCCTTAGCCTTTAAGCTGATCCACCTTTGTAATTTTACCCATTTTTCTTACTGTAGTTACTGGCAGCACCAAAGCCTCATGTTGTAAGGGTGGATTTCAGGACTGTAAGTCATCTCATATGTATAGAAGATAGGTAGAAGAGGGGGGACTGGGACTACAGCTGTTTCAAGGGATGGGTATGAGCTTAAAGGCATGGAGGAAACCACAAAGTCCTGTTCCTGTGCTCAGCTCACCTGTGTGTATAATAGAAGAGAATTTCCTCCACTATGGTAAAGATGCTCATCTCCAGAAGGAACCAGCGGAAGGTGGGTAACTCCTTGCTGAAGGTGTTGCCCCACCATTGCAGGATGTAGAACATGGGCAGAAGCATGGGCAAGGAGATAAAGACCTGATTGCACAGCGCTGTGTAGATGGCTTGGCGCAACTTCTTTGTGTCCACCTGCAAAAGAGAATTCGGGATTTGAGGCTAAGTCAAAGGACTTGAGGAGCAATGCAGCTTTGAATGGGAAGGAGAAAGAGCTTTAAGTTTTGTAGGCAGTTCCCATGTTAGTTTTGTGATCAGCTTCTTAACGAGCAGCCAATTCAGAGCTGATCAGTAGCTTCATCCCAGGAACTGCCTTCCTCTCTGCAGTACATATGGAAGATTCAGCTTGGTTGTCCTTGAACCCTATCTGGTTACAAGAGGAAAGCATAACAGGTTCTTCTCCCTACTCCTGGCTTGAGAGACAGCAGGAAGTGTTTAGCAAGCAGAAGAGTCAGAGTAAGAAATACTTACAGGATCATTCTTGCCCAGCTGAATGCGATAGCGAGTAATGAAAGTTGGCTTTCCTGTTATATCAGCCACCATAAGGATTCCATTGAAGCACCAGAAAGCAAGGGCAGGCACCAGTGCAGCCCCTGTGGCATGAGGAAAGGGCAGAGATGTGAATAAATTGAGGCTAAATCGAAAACAAAATACAGTGGCATCGTACCCAGAGGATCCTGCTAGGACCCAGATGTGCCAGATGCATATCCCCTGCAGTGAGGTGCTTTAAAATGGAATATGGGTACGTTCAACATCCAAGTAAGACCTAGGAAATGGGACAAGGTTATAGACAAATGTCTCATCAGTTGAAACGTGCCACAGCTGAGGCCAAGAAGGGCTTTTCTGGGAGGCTGTGGGATCTTTATCATGGGTGGTTTTTAAATGCAAGTAGGATAAGGTTGAGTTGATCTACAGGACCTTTGCAAGATGCCTACCAGGTCTGTTCACCAGCTGTAATCACAGACAGAGAAGTTATATAGGTGCTATGGCAAGAGTGAAATTCACTGATTTTACTTCACTTTTCAGTAATTCTACTGAGTCATTCAGTTCTTACAGGAACAAAGTGTATCCAGTTTATGAAGTCTTTTCAGCAGCAGCAGAAAGGTCAACCTTTTGATCTGTATAGGGTGTCTAATGTGAACAGTCCAAAGCCAGCACAGTGGCACTGTGTCAGCTCTGTCTCTCTTTGAAGCTTACATGTGCTTTTTCAGTGAGAGGATTAGTGACTTTAGGCAGGCATGCCCACGTCCCATTTTTAGATGTAACACAAGGATGGTTCCTACAGTAGAGAGCTGTTAAAACTCACCAAGTAAGAAGAGTGTTGACTCCTTTCCCTCTAACAGGTAGTAGAGCTTTAGCCACATTGTTTGCCAGAAATGGCCCAAAGTGTCCCAGATATCCTGCACGTACCTGCAGGAATAAGTGTTCTTGGTTGCCCATCTTTTCATCACCCACTTCCCCTCTCCACAGAAAAGCTTCTCCTCAAGCCCTTTTGTTCAAACCATCTTACCAAGCAGAGCTCGCTAAGGCAGTGAATAGGAGAAGACCTGCTCCGAGGACACAGGCAGTGACCTTCATGGCATCCCAGAGCTTCTCTTCCTGTGAGCAAGCAACAAGAGTGAGCGTGTGCTGCTGTGTCCTGCACTAGCACTTTCTGTGTTTGAAACGCAGGCGATGAAGGCAGTCCTATGAAGGGCTGTTTTGTTTCACAAACTCTCTAAAGAGCACAACAACAAAGCTGTTATGGGACATTGTGTGTGACTGAGCAGGGGGGAAGTACACACACATCCATCTGCCATGCTTACAGAGACCTGACGGGTCTGACATGGAATTTCTCTGGAATAATCAAAGGGAGAGAACGGGCCACTGATTTTTCCCTCTGTTTTCATCTGGCACACTTCCTGGTACCTGGAGGACTACAGCGTAAGGGGCTTCTGGATAACCACAAGCAGCTGGAAAGGAAGAAAGTGTAAGGAACTCCACCTCAACAGCTCCCTCCCTCTGTATTTTCTCCCTCTCAGTATGCAGTTATGCTTCCTCCCTGTAGCAGTCAAGACCTGCTGTGCTCAGATGAACTGAATAACAGCTCCAGTTAATCCAGAAGTACTCCTTTCCACTTTTGCTTTGAAGACTGATTGTGAAGTCAGGCTCATGTGCCCAGAACCTTGCCTATTCTTTTCCCTACAAGTGCAAGAGAGGTTTAATACCTTTCCTTGCATAATGCACTTTGTGTGCCTTTAGGCCATCACAGGTACAGCTAAGCTCTAGTATTGAGAGTACCACCTGGCTAATAAGTGCCATCTGTATGGAACAATTGCACATGAACAAGGAGCTAAAATACTCAAAAGTATAAAGTGCTCTAAGTCCCTGCTATCAGTCACAGAAATGATATCTACTGAACAAATATTCCTGTGTACAGCATAAAGATATAAAATGTGATGTTACTGTGACTTTTTTTATCACAGTAAGGATTTTAACTACAAAAAGCATCTTCAATGTGAGCATTTAAAGATCCAAACCCAAGTTGTTTAGCCAAATATACGACAACTGTATAATTAACCATCTATCTTTTAGAGTAGCCCAAGGTGGAATTGGTTCTGGAGTTCAGCAATCTTAGTTTCAGTTTTCTTGGGTTGCTGTGTATTGTATTTATCTGCAGAATAACTGTTTAAAAAGAAATCAGTGCAGTTCTAAAAGACTATAGTGTACTAACCAGTGAGTGTCTGTTTCATTACTCTCTCCTTCCTGTTTTTAATACGTGTTGCTGTGCTGCACAAACAGACTGGAGTAAAAATAGCATGATTCACAGTTGCTGTCCTGCTTGTCTCCCATCAGAGAGGTCAAACAAGAGAGGCAGCTCACTAATAAATGCTGAATGCAGGTGTGTTTAGGGTAATGCAGGAGGAATCCTCTCTACACAGCTTTCAGTGCTTTAAGATTCGGTAACAGCTACAGAACATTAAACACTGCCCAAGACTTGTCAGTACTATGTCTGTGCCAGGACAGAACTTTGCTCATTAGCACTGAAACTTTCCCTGTTAAAACAAACAGCCTTCATCTCTTATCATTTATTTTTAATCGAGCTGGGAACTGGGAGTAATTTAAAGGACTCTTGCCCTACAGCTTGCTGTTTGTGAACCCTGCAGTTTTACATTGGAAGCAATGCAACCAGGGCCTCCGCATTATCACTGGCGCACTGAGCTACAGCTGCAAGGCTGGCAAAAGCCACCTATTCCAGCTTCAGAGGGTGCCTGCTGGATTCAGGGTTGGAGATTTGCTCTCTCAGCAGTTTCATACTTCCAATCGCATCCGTGTGGTATCTCGTGTCTGCTGACATGAGATAAGACTCTCTTAATCTGTAGACCCTGGAATACCATCTTCTTATTATCTGGAAAAAAGGTTACAAAAGCTATACAAAGCTTTTGTAACATTCTTAAGGGAGTGGTATCCATAAATCCTTCTGGGATGAAGGAAGAATACAGCAGCGAGAAAACTCTGATGTCTCACAAGGTCAGGATTTTTAGTTAGACCAAATAGTATTTCAGTTATTTAGCACCTTCTAGCTGAAGAACTGAGCTTCAAAATCTATTAACTCCTAATGCTCATCACTCTGTGTGTCCTGCTCTGAGACAGGACAGAGAGTGGCTGAAGCTCAAGTACTTAAGCTATTTTAAAAGCCCTTTGGCTTGTTTTGAGGCTGTGTTTTTATTTCATGTGATGAAGTGATTACGTGAGTGAATCCCACACTGTGGAATTACATGAGCTGTAGGAGCACAGAAGTTTATATAGGAAAAGAAACATCTTGTTCATCAAGTCCCAGTGCTAACACCCTGTTTCTCTTCATGCCAACAGCCCCAGCACGTTAGTTGCCAGACTTTGATCCATCTTGCCCTTAAAGGGCTTGTAGAAGTTGGAATATTCCTTCAGTGTAGAAGAGGGAAACATTGTTCAGCAGGACCACTTTGAGGACTGGGCTCAGTTAGGTGGCACAGCTTCTGGTTACAGGGGAGTGCTGTGGTCTCTTGCCATACAAGCAAAGGTAACAGACCCTTCAGCTGCAGCTCACTGGAAGGGAAAAATGCTGGGAAGCTGTTGCTGTAGTGGCAAGAGATGATACTTTAAAAGATAACCTTGAGTCTTTACCTGCTTCTGCTGCTCAGCCATGGTGGGATACCCAGAGACTCTTTTCATCTGAAATAAACGGTGATCTAAGTAAGTGAGCCTTGTACAACTGGAAAGTGGAAGAGCACACTGCTGACAACAGCAAACCCCCTCAGCTTCTAGCTCAGTTGCAAAACTGTCAAGTACTTAATCTCTGTGCTGTGTCCTGTCCCGTTCCCTCCTTCGTCTTGGCTACTTGAGCAAACTGAGCTCTTGGGGAGAGAAATCCCCTTATGTCCTGATGAGTATTGTCTACAAGACTAACAGGGATGCAAGGGTAACAAAGACACATGGGAGAACAGCCAAACCCAAAGCTTGTGATCGTGCCACTCGTGTTGTGGCACAGCTTCCTCCCCTGATCTGGCCCAGGAATACATTGCACCCAGTGAGAACTCCAGCCCTTCACTGACTGCAAGGAAATAATGATGTGGAACCTGCGCTCTTCCAGAATGGTGACATGTTGTTAAATTCACAAGGATGGAAACAAAAATCCAGCTACAACAAAGTGAGTTTGTGCCATGAAGAATTAACACAGTAGAGCCCCCCACAGCCTTCACTCTTGTGGCAGAGGAACTGTGAGTTGTGAGGAAATCATCTTTGCTTCAAGTCTTGCTATGGTCAGTTTGGTGGTTTAAAGTCCTAAATGGACAGGATCTTGTAATAAATCTCCCTGCATTTGACCATTTGTTGCTGGTTTTGGTAAAAAATAAAATAGAATTAAAATAAAATAAGCCCCGAGGTTAAAGTAGCTGCTGGGGTTTCACTGCTGGCCGTGGCCGTGGCAAGATCTCTGTGATTCAGGACCTGCTGTTGCTGTCCTAGGAATTATTGTGTAACTGTTTTGATATTCCTGCATTCTTACTATAAATTATTAACTAGCAAAAGCTAACAAAACATTCCTTAAAGTCTTCATGGCTTCACCTGAACACAAACACATGAATTCTAATATGATGGCCAGATTACTCATGGCTGCAGAATTAAATCCTTTTTGGTTTTCATACTCAAGAAGAATATTCAAGCAGAGGCAAAATGTGTTACCTAAAGTATAAAGAGAAACAGTTGGTAATGTATTCATTAGAAAGATGATATTCCATTACCTTTCTGATGGTAGCAAGCCTCTTGGGAGTACTCCTCTTGCAGCGTTTCGGAGAGGAGGAATACACTGCCAAAAATAAGTCCCTATGTCAGCCAGAAGGTTTGAAATGATAGCTTTCTGGGTACATCCTTACAAATGCAACTCAGTTTATTTACAGGAGTTTCCAGCTCTGTTTCCCTGTGTTCCCTATGTTATACCCCTATGTTAGCATGCACGTCAAGGAGCATGAGACAAAAATTGGAGACCATCTTTCTGCTCGTATTCCTGTTTTCCCAAGGACAGGAAAAGACAAGCCCAGTCACCACACCATGTACTTCAGTGGAAGAAGCTGATGATAAATGGTTCTGAGAAGAAGAAATAAAATTAGGCAAGAAACAATTTGAAACCTGAAGCCATGGATCTGAACTCCCAACCCCGTGTTTCGAAACAGGGCTCTATGTGCTCCTATGGGAAATGCTCACTTTTGGTAGCAGCCTTGAAAGACATAAACAAGTTAACTCTGCCTCCTTTGGCCAAAGCAGTAGTGAGAGAAGTGCCCTGAGGTGGTGTTGCTTAAAATGAGAATGTGTTAAGGAAGTCACGGTGTCCTAGGACTTCTCATGTTTCCTGAGATCTGCAGTTCCTCACTATTAGACTTGTGAGCTATTGAAGCCAGTATGAGAGGTCTTCTGTGTATTTTATTTCTCCACTGTATCAAGGTTGCCAACATAACCTGATTGAAAAAATATAGTTGGACTCTAACATATCTTATGAGGAATACCTGAAAGCAGCAACCACAAATAACTTGCCAGCCTGAACAGAACAGCATAAATCACTTGCCACAGGACAAATGGATCTTATCGTCATTTCCAAAAGCCCTTCTGCTTGCAGTGATGCATTCACGTTACGAAACATGCACTATACACCTATCTTGTCACACAGGTCCTCTCAATGTAGGTGCGCCCACTGCCTCCAAGAAAGCACTACTAATGCTCAAAACATGTCAAGCTTGAATAATCCATTCCTTTATGAGGCTTTGCTCCATTCCACCTTTCTTAGCAGGTTGGTTGGAGCCCTGAACAGTTGAGTTCTGAGTGTCAGCATGGAGGGAGATTCCAAAGCTTCTCTGGGAAAACTGTCCAGGGATTTGACTACCCTTGCTGTGATATCCCCCATGCAGTTCCTAATCAGAATGTCCCTTGTTATATCTCATATCCCTTGCCCTTTTGCTGTGTTATCTTCTCTACCACCACCCAGGTGGGAGATGAAAACAGCAATATGAAATGATTCTGCTGACACAGTACAGCAAATAGCATTGTCACAGTTTTCTGTGGTTAAAGAGATTATTCAGCTCTGACGACCTTGCGGTACAACATTACCTCTCAGGGAGGCAGACATAAGAGGGGTATCTCAGCTAGCTGCTTGATGGAAGGCTGCTGAATCTTTGTGTGTGAATGAGCTCAAAAGCAGAGCACAAAAGAGAATGTGATTCTGCTTTGAGGTTTTAGGAGGAAAAAGAGCCATTGCTTCACCAAGTCCCAGATTCTGTGAGTGTAGGAAAGAGTTAAAATTAGAATCATGTTTCTAGTAGTACTCCTTTTAAATAACCAAATTATGCTACAAGTCTTGCTTGGGCAAAGACTTCCAGTTCAAAACAATCCTGTGCATCTCCTTACCCTCCCTCTCCCCAGAATCTCAGTCAAGTCGTATTTACAGGATAGAAATTGACATTACGTGCCTTAAAACAAGATAAACTTCAATGGATCAGGATTCCCAAAATATATCATTGCCTACTTTCTTTTATTGTTGGAAAATCTCTCTTCTGATTCAGAATACACCAAATACATTTAAAAAGCATTGGTGTAACCACAGCTCTTTTGCCAAACAAAAAAGCCATTCAGCTGCTTGGCACTGCTCTCATGTTGGCATGTTACACAGCCCCGAATCAACCAGTGAAGATCTCAGCTGCCTGCAGCTATTTCCAAATATCAGCTAGAACTGGTGCTCACTTAAAAGGGAGGTAAAAAAGGTTCCTTTTTGGTTATTTCAAATTAGTTAACACAAAATTTGATTCAAACTAAATTTTCACCCTTAAAGTAACTGTTTTTCCAATCAGGGCCTTGATGTTAAAGCGGAAACGAAACATACACTGGTCCATAAAGAATTCCAATGCATTTTGTTTAATTATTTCCATGTACTTCATCACTTGTCCAACAACTGTTCATTAAGTCAGAGATGTATTTTCACTGAATTTTCCACTTTAGGTATCAGAAAAAGCCAGTTTGTCTGAATCATGTTTTAAAATGCTCAACATCATCTGAAAAGGAAAGAACTGCCCTTTTATATTTAACAGTCATATTATTATTTATGTCTCGTCTCTGCTGTCCCATCAATTTCTGTTGCCCCAAGCTGAGGCTTCTCCTCGTATTGTACCCAGTACTGTGTCCTGACAGCAGCCAGACCATACTGCTGCTGGCAGGCACAGCTCAGTAATACACTACACTAACACGCAGTAATACACTACTACTACTAAGTACATCACTGTGATGGACTGCCTGCCCACGCCAGCTTCTTGCTATTCCTCCCTCCTGCTTGATTCTTCTGTTGTAAACCTTCTTTCACTGGAATCAATCTTTACAGTGCCCAGACAATGGAAAAAACCCACCTGAGAGGGAAAAAGGCTACAGCCATCCATGAAAGTATAGAAAGGGAAAAATATAAGGACAGCTTACCTGGTCACCCAAAGAGTTTCATATCAGCCACGCTATATGGGCAGACACAGGACTAGACATCGTGTTTGGTGGACGTCTCACTGTGCCAAGCACTGCACAGGTCTGAAGGCAGCCAGAGTTCCTAGAAGAGCTTACACTCATCCTTTACACAGACATACATTGCCTTTGAATGACTTCCTCAATGTTTCTATCACATCTTTTCAAGCTGCTACATCCCTGACTTCTTCCTGCCTGTTCTGCTGAGAGCAGCCTAGGAGAGGTCCTCTGTGCCCATTTAGAGCCTGGGCTTCAGCTCCTCACCTTTCATCACTGCTGTGGAAACTTTATGAGGGTTTAGGCGAAGGAGACGGGGGTGTTTCCAAGCAGGAGCTGGCTGTCCCCTCCCAGGCAAGTCATGTGAAGCCAGTGCCATGTCACTGTTAGTACTGGCAGCGTTCCCAGTATGCATACACAAGCTGTCACTCGGTTAAGCATTAGGCATACATCTCTGCAGGTAAGAGTCTTAATGGCTGTATCTGAGAATAAAAAAGCCACCTAACCTTTAAAGATAAATAATTTTTATAATGCACTAACTCATGTTTTGGGCACAAAATAGCCAGTGCAACTGAATGGGCCAAAAGTGTACTTGCTAAAAGCAATAAGGGTCACCATGGAATTTGGCAAAACACCAGCAGTCCAGTTTTCCTGGTGTCTAGCAGTTAAACCAATGCTGCTACTATATGGTGTCCTCAACCAGCTACAGGTATAGTTTCCATCTGTAAGGACAAGATGCAAATAGGTTAGAATGCGGTTGGGCTCAGTTGTCTTTAAATACAATGTTTAGAGACCACAAAGTCTGTAATTATGCTGTTGCAAAGAGCAAGATGGAATTTGCAGTAGCATCAATCTTTATTATGCAAATGTGGCCCCAATCTCTGTTACTTACCTCATATACAGTGCTCTATTATGAATTAAGTGTGGAGAATTGAGGGTGTTGCTTGCCATAACTTCTGAGATTTATTTTTCCACACAAGGAATAACAAGGAATACCTTGGCCTCACAGCCCTGTATGGCCATCCATAGGTGAAGCAAAACCTCAAGCTAGCACCAGCTATTGCTGTAGAGAGACCTGCAAGCATGAAGACCAGTGATGCCTCGTTGCCTGCGCCCGTTTCCTTGTCCCTACCACTACTAACTCCTTTCTGGAAAGAGAGTATTCCCAGAACTCCCCTCACACTGTCCTCTTGGCACGGTAAACATTCGATGTTGCTTCATTTCACATTTAAGACTGTGTTACTGTTCTATTTGTCGCTTTCTCTTGACTAATCCTAACTATTCCCTAGTAGGAAAAGAGTTTGTAATTTTCAGCTGATGCTACCAGTTGTTATTTGTCATAAGACAGCAGACTCAACAGGGAGGAATGCAATCCCTTCCAGCTATTTCCACACGTGCAGAGGGGGAAGTGGGAATTGGCATTTCAAGAGGGGCGCTGTATGAACGCTGTCCTGCGATGACCTTTCTTTGGGCTGGAGCTTGCACTGGGAGGACTGTTCATCCAATAGCCAAAAGTGGAGATAAGCTGGTGGATTTCACAGGTGTCAGTGCTGCTTTTAAAGCGCTGTTTGATTCTGACATTGATTATGTCTGAAATATTTATACCCAACAGGAACAGAGCGCTCAGCGTATTAGTCATGAGGATGTGAACGTCATTTACCTTCTACTGCAAGTTTGTGTCTAGGGCTGGTGGGCAGCAATCTAAAAGCTGCCTCTGTCAGGTGGCTTGTGTCCTGCTCTGCTGTCTTCACTACAAACACCCCAACCTTAGTGCTGAGGCATGCAAGAAGTCTGATCTCTTCTCAGCAGAAAGGTTTTTGGATCTGATGCTTTATAAAATAACTTCTCTTTGTTCACTCTCCATTTCTGCAATAGTCACTGTTTCACTGGTTGAAAAAATCATGAGAAGGATATGAGCTATGAACTGTGTCTCAGGATTGTGAAAACCCAAACTGATGGCTCCTCTAGCATGGAAGAGGAACCTGAACTGAGCGCACCTCACTTCATCATTAATCCCCTGCATTCTCAACTGTATTCCTATCCAGCTGCCAGGGCAGATGTGTGCCACCACTCAGTACTGCAGTGGCAGGCTTTGGGAGCATCTCTGGGCAACAGAAAGGTTAGGAAAATGCAAATGATGGCTTTGTTGTTAGGGTACAAACATGTTCAGCAGTAGCTGCGTCTTTTAACTCTTTATTCACTTATTAAGGTTTCCATAAGTAAGTTTTTTACCATTTGTGGTGCTGTTACTAAGCTCTAAAGGAAATGCAGAACTGTTTCAACAGGACATGATCCAGGACATGGGGCTCCAGCGAGTGGATGTGAAAATATTGAGCTACAGCCCTTTATTCCACCTTATGATGTACTGCATCTACACAGAGCATTTTAACTCTGGTGCTAACAGCAGATGGTACGAGGGCTTTTCAGGAACCTCCTTTGGAGGCTGGACCTGAAAGCAAATTTGGTTACTTCCAAATACAAGAATTATGGGACTTTCTTAAACAGCAGGGTGCCTTTTCCCACTGTTCTTCATCCTCATTAGCAGGTATCAAAATTAGCCATGATTGAAACAAATTCTGATCTCCTTCAGTAAAGTACGTCTCCAGCTCTCCCCAGCAGTGGTTCTAAACATAGAATCATAGAATCATAGAACAGTTAGGGTTGGAAAGGACCTTAAGATCATCCAGTTCCAACCCCCCTGCCATGGGCAGGGACACCTCACACCAAACCATTTCACCCAAGGCTCTGTTCAACCTGGTCTTGAACACTGCCAGGGATGGAGCATTCACAACCTCCCTGGGCAACCCATACCAGTGCCTCATCACCCTCACAGTAAAGAACTTCTTCCTTATATCCAATCTAAACTTCCCCTGTGTAAGTTTTAACCCATTACCCCTTGTCCTATCACTACAGTCCCTAATGAAGAGTCCCTCCCCAGCATCCCTATAGCCCCCCTTCAGATACTGGAAGGCTGCTCTGAGGTCTCCGTGCAGCCTTCTCTTCTCCAGGCTGAACAGCCCCAACTTTCTCAGCCTGTCTTCATACGGGAGGTGAATCCTTGAATAGCTTTTTTTGCCAACTACACACAAACATTATAGGCGCAATTTATCCCAAGTGATTATTTCCTGCAATACATTTTTTATTCCAGTAGCAAGGCACACACATTTTTCCTGTCCTGAGATGATCCATCCTCCCTTTTCCCCCTGGATTCACCATACCTTTAAGTGCTGAGTTTATGAGCAAGAGAAATGATATCTATGTTTTGCTCTGAATTCTGCAGGGAAAAACCCTAACCTTATACTTACTGTGTGCTGTAATCCAGCCTGCTCTATTTACCTGCTACCAACGTGTGTTTTCTTGCATGAAATCCCAACCTCAAGTGAGCACAGGAAGAAAGGCGATTACATTCTGCCAGTCTATTGCCTAATACATAAATTATGCAACACCAGGGACTGCAGAGCTAAGGAGGAATGGTGGCTATCTATCATCCATGAAGACAAACTGTGAGTCAAAGTAGCGCTCAATAATGGGATGTCATAAGATGCTGACAGCACCAAGGTCACTTGATGGAGAGCAGCACGTGGAAAAACCTCCTCTTTTCTAGAAGTTACATTTGTGCTGAGGGATGAACATTAAATGTGAGGCACTGAACTATGTCTGAAGGGTAAAAGATGCCATGATTTGGGCTTCCAAATACTTACATGAAAACAGTAGGCAAGTAGCTGAGATTTGGTGGCCAGTTCTGCATCAGTACCAGAATTGCATTATTTGATAGCAAATACAACCCGATCCAGAATGCTGCACTCTAAAAGAAAGGAAATACTGTCTAAGCTTAATTATAGTAGACAAGCTTCCAAATAAATTGTGTATCTGTCATCAGCATCAGCCAGCAAAGCAACCTTTGGCAGCTCTGTTACACAGGAACTTATATTATGCTGCTTTATTGAATAGAGACATCTGCGCTAATGTAATTTAAATATCATTTAAATAGCCATTCAAATTTTAAATAGCAATTTAAATAGCAGTATGTGAACGGGGCATACAAGGATGCTGGGGAAGGACGGCGCACCAGGGACTGTAGTGATAGGATGAGGAGCGATGGTTCAAGCTTAAGCAGGGGAGATTTAGACTGGATATAAGGCAGAGCGTGGTGAGGCTGTGGCACAGGGTGCCCAGAGAACATGTGGCTGCCCCATCCCTGGCAGTGCTCCCCAGGCAGAGGGCACACCTACCACCCGTACACCCCTCCCAAGTGCGGCGAATGGGCTCGCCCGGGCTCCCTCTTCAGGCAACCCGGGCGATGCCATTACCCGCCCTGGGGGGTGGACAGGGGTAGCGAGCTCACCGCGCGCCCCTCGGCTGCGGGCAGGCGCACTGCGCGCACAGCCCCGCGCGGCGGTCACACCCCTCCCCTTTCCACCTCCGCGGGAGCGCGCGCGCGCTCCGGGGGCGGCTTCCCCGTAAATCTCGCGAGAGGGAAACCAGCCCCCGCCACCCCCCCCGCCAACGGGCCGGACGGAACCCCGCCCCTTCCCCCCCGAGCGGCGATTGGGGAGGGGGGCGTATCGCGCATGCGCAGTGGGTGGTCAGGCCCGGCTTCCGGGCAGGTAGCGGTGTGTGTGTGTGTAAAGGGGGGGGGTACGGGTAGGGAATGGCGATGGCAGAGGGGTCGCGGGAGGGACGGAGGGCTAGAGCGGCGCCCCGCGCGCGAGCAGGTGCGGGGCGGGTGCCGGACCGGGGCCTCCGAGCCTGAGGGGACGGCGGGAGGACTGAGGGAGAGCTGAGGGAAAACGGGCACCAGCGCGGCTCCACCGGCAACGTTGAGCCCCCCCCCCGGCCTCATTGACCCTCCGCGGCCGCACCGTGTTCCCCCGGCCTCACTGAGCTCCCTCCCGACCGCCGATGACAGAGGCTGGGGTCGTTGTGCCCGTGTTGGTGCAGGGAGTGTTGAACAACCGGCGGTTTACCGCTGAAGCTGCCGTTAGTGTAAGCTGAAAGACCTCACCTCGGTGTTTCCTGGGTTACGCCGGAGGAGCTGGTGTCTGTCAGTGCGGTCCGTGAGGCGTTGTGTGGCTGTTTCTAAAAGCTATTGCAGTAGGTGAATGTTAAACATCGGGATTCTCTGCTTGTACAGCTGGTGGCCGAAAGTTTCTGAGCTTGTGGCAGGAGAAAAAGACGGGGAGAATGATTCTCTTCATGAATAACTGCTCTGTTAATTGCACGGCCGCTCCTGTAACCTGAACGGATGCTCTAGATCTATCTCAGTGTGTTTATGGGAAGCGATAAAAGCAAGAAAAAGAGTTGGTGTAAACGTTAATGGGCTATTTTGAAGCTGAAAATGGAAGTGTGACTGACTCCGACTTATAATTCATTCTTATATGTATCTATTTCTTCCTATAAAGCATTATTTATTGATCTCTTTAACACAGCACACCGATAAGATCGCATAGTTTGCAATTCAACCCTTCATCTGAATTCAGCATCGGTCCCTTTCCTCTGGTCCCTGCAAGATGCCGGCGGCTCTGGCAGAGAACAGCCAGGTTATCTGTGAGGTGTGGGCAAACAACCTGGAGGAAGAGATGAGGAAAATCCGAGAGATTGTTCTGAGTTACAGCTACATTGCAATGGTAAGTGTTTTATACTGGATCTAGTTGCCTTAGTCAAGGGATTTTGGGGGTAGAGGAAGAAGTTAATTCTTGAGTGAGAAACTGAGTCAAACCGAGCTAGAAGCGGTAGAAAGGTAGAAAGCTGTTCAGCAGAAGCTTTCTGGAGTCTAATACAAGTAGTGCTGAGTATGGATTGAATGAAAGGGGAGAAATATACACCTTAAAAACATGAATTCACTTAATATTTAGCTGTTTATAATTTATGAGTTTGCACAACAGAAAAATGAAATGTGCCAGATGTACAATTGGGTATAAATCTTTAGTTCTCCACCAGTGTATTTGTCTTTTGAATGTCTTTCTCTGTTTGGTTACGGAAGATGCTGTGGTCCTGTAGGACAAAAAGTCTGGAAGTGACTAGTCAGATGGGCTTTCACTGAGCTCAGATGTTGATTCTTAGGGAAGAGAAACATTCTGGCTGTAAGTACAACAGCGTCTTCAGAAAGCTCTGTTTAAGAACACCGGAATCTCCCCCAGGTTGGAGGAATCTCTTCCTGCTCTTAAAGTCTTGACTGGAGTTGGTTTTTTACATAGATAACTGGGGTTAGTTATGATACTGAAAGTTACACTGATTTTGCTTAGGAACACTAATCTTCAAGATATGAGAAGTCCTAAATAAAAGCATGTCATAAAACCACATGCTCTGGCAGAGTGTGTGGTATTTCAGAGTAGAACACAGCTGTGTAAGTGAATGTGATTTTTTGTTACCATATGTCAGTGGGAAATGGGCTATCTTAATCATAGAATCATAGACTAGTTAGGGTTGGAAAGGACCTTAAGATCATCCAGTTCCAACCCCCCTGCCGTGGGCAGGGACACCTCACAGTAAACCATCTCACTCAAGGCTTCGTCCAACCTGGTTTTGAATGCTGCCGGGGATGGAGCATTCACAACCTCCCTGAGCAACCCAAACCAGTGCCTCACCACCCTAACAGTAAAGAATTTCTCTCACTGAGAGTGTGCTTGTGACCTGTGTTAGCAGCTGTGCTGCCAGAGTGGACACACAGAGATCTTGAGCCTGGGAGAGATTTTGCCACATATGCAGCACTGGACCCTTCATTAAAGATTTTGCACACACTCTAGTCAGTAGAAGTGACATGACTTCATCTGAGAGTAAAAATAGTGTGAAAGTTGGGTTTTTAGCAAAGATAGCTCATGGTCACTGGCCAAGTAAAATGTTTTTCATCTACTTGATGGTTGATCTGTTGTTAAGGTCTGTTTTGATTGGTAGTAGTGTTTGTTCATGTAGGCATTGGCTGTTCCTCAAAACCAGGTAGGTTATCACCACCTGGACTGTCAAACGAAGATGGTCAGAGTGCTGAATTTAACTTGTATTTAGAACATGAAAGAGCACTGAATAAATAAAAGTCCATTTTAGTAGATTTAGGGAAAACGAGAGAGTCCTTTGTGAGAGAGATGTTTAGATTATACAGTAGTGCATGTTGGATGAGTTTGTAACGTTTTTCTTGTGGAATAAGAACTATTACATAATGGAATGGTTAGCAAGTTGTGTGGGTTTTTTTTAGTGTCTGACATGTAGCAGTTTAAAACCTTTATAAATATGAAAAAAAGGAGAGGGGGGAAGTGATTTTTACAAAACAATTCAGGGAATGCAGTGCTGAGACCTGTGAGTGTGGAACTGAGTAGACTTCTTATAGAGTGATAATAATGACTCCTAGTAGAACAAGTGGTGCAATAAGCTTTTCCCTTCTCTCCTAGGACACAGAGTTTCCTGGAGTTGTTGTAAGGCCGATTGGAGAATTCCGCAGCTCCATAGACTATCAGTACCAGCTCCTCCGGTGTAATGTTGACCTGCTAAAAATTATCCAGCTGGGCCTGACTTTCACAAATGAGAAAGGAGAATATCCCTCTGGGATCAATACCTGGCAGTTCAACTTCAAATTCAACCTCACGTAAGTCTTCTGAGCTCAGGAATGAAGCTCAGAACCTGACACACAGATGTCCGTATGTTCATTACTGGCTGGTTCTGAGCCATAAATGTTCAGATTCTAACAGATTTTTGTGGGAAACTGCTGTGGCATGAATGGAGTTTGCAGTGTCTCTGGAAGCCAAAGCTGTGTCAGAATACTATCCTTAATACCCTTTCCCTTGATACCCTTAATACCCTTTCCCTGTAGTTCTGTGTTCCTTAAACTTTTTTTTTCTGGAACACTGTTAGAGTCTGAAACTTTATATGTTTCGTATACGTATCTACATATGAATATATAGATAAATCTATCTCTTTCTGCTAAAAATACATGGATGTGCTGTTTTCAGCAGAAAGAGAAATACCTCTTTACAGATCCTTGCTAAAATATAAATTGGGATCTAAAGAAGAATGTTTATGTAATTGTCACACCAGGTTCAGGAGAATGGGTCTTGCTCAGTGGAGTGTGGCAGTTGTTCTTGTCTCCTCCATACTGTAATATCCTGTGTTACAGCTGAAAGAAGTTTCATTATCCCTGTCCCTGTAATTGTAAAGTAATTGTAAACTCGGCATAATTACCACTAGAGCTGCCTGGAAATAAAGAGAGGGTTTATCTGGCAAACCCACACATTTCTAGGAAACCAGTCAGTGTTTTTATGAAACTGTCATTGGAGAACATGACAAAAACTCATAGCTAGTGTGTGCTGATCATCCAGTTCTTGAACCCAGAAGTTGCAATCTCTACTTCCACGAACTTGTTAGCCTCTTGAAGCATTGAAATCGCAGTGAAGTTTGCATAGTGCGATCACTTCATGTGACTCTGTTATCATATTTGGCCTGAATTTTGCTGTGTGTTGTCACGTCCTTCCCTCCCCCAACCCTCGAATGAGACCAACCAGTGTGGAAGTCGGGTTCCTGCTCAGCTCTCCACCAAGCATCTCATCACTCATCCTTGCCTTCCTTCCTGAGTCAAGTGTTAGGCAATTTTGTTTACTCCCAGAGATGGAGCTGGAGATGATGACACAGTGCTGTGTGCTGTGAAGTGAAAAAGAAAAATGTAGACAGGAATGATGCTCGGTGCTTTGGAGTTGCACATCTGCCTACGTGAGAGAATTCCCCTTTTCTCTGGGCTCTCATCCATGGTGCTTCCGTTTGTCATGCGGAAGTGACATTTCTCAAAGTCATTCAGTTCTACAGAGGAATCTTTGGAATTTGCAATAGCAACAGAATTATTAATGACAGCAGAGCAGGTTGTTAGAGATGTGGGAGGCTGCAGCAGTGGTTTTAATACTGATGAAATTTGGTAACATCTGAAGTGCAAAGCTGCTTTTCTCCTTCAGGGAGGACATGTACTCTCAGGATTCTATAGACCTCCTCGCCAGCTCTGGGCTGCAGTTCCAGAAGCATGAAGAAGAAGGGATCGATACTCTGCATTTTGCTGAGTTGCTTATGACATCTGGGGTCGTGCTTAGTGACAGTGTGAAGTGGCTGTCCTTCCACAGGTAGGTCTGGGATGGTCACTGATGCTGGCAAGTGGGAAATCTCTTTTTGATTGAAATACCGCTGCTTTTGTCCATGGAGGCTGACACAGATTCTAGGGAGAGTTACCAGCTCTGCAGTTCCTAAAATGAGCTTGAAGATATGAAGGGCAAGTTTAAGAAGCCAGGGCAGTTAGGAGTTGATTTTGTACTAGCACTTGCTGTGGTCTGGATTTTGTGTATGCGTTGCTTGCAAATCCTTTTGCTGCTACAGTCTTCCTCTATGGAAGAAGTTGAAATGTGATTTCTACACTTAGTAACTTGTGTGCATTGTAAAGTAAGGGTTTTGTTTCTTATTCCTTACAGTGTTGATGGTGTTCCCAACTTCCATCTTGTGTTTATGTAAATCTGTGTAGCTAAGATATCTTTTCTTGTAGAGTTTGAATCAATTTGATGACAAATCCTCTGGTCCTTGATACCATCACAAGTGAAAGGACTTGAGAGAGGAGGAGGCAGTGACAACAGGTGCTTACAGGGTTTCCTTGCTTTCCTCTTTTGCCCATAGTTACGGAAACTTGCAGCGTTGGGAAGAGAAGCTTGTTCTTTGTAGTGATTAGCTGTTCTACAAGAGGTTAGCGAGGCACCCAGGGAGCATTCAGAAGTCATACACTGACATAGATGATCAGGGAGAATTCTGGCTCGGATCCAGAGAAGTTTTATGAATGTCAGAAAATGCGAAGGTCCTAAAGCTACAGCAAGTAAAACTCTTGTGAAAAACGAGATATTGGTACCAACCGAGTGTAGGTGTTTTCTGCTTATCTGGTTTCTGTATGTTTTTGTTTCCAGTGGTTATGACTTTGGCTACATGGTGAAGTTATTGACAGATTCCAGGTTACCAGAAGAGGAACATGAATTTTTCCATATCTTGAACCTTTTCTTCCCATCTATCTATGATGTAAAGTACTTAATGAAGAGCTGCAAAAACCTCAAGGTACTTGTATGTCCCTAGCAAGCAAGTGATGACAGGCATCAACCCTGTAAATTGTAAAGCCAAGTGACAGAACTGCTGCATATGTCATCCTTGAACTGGAACGTGTATAAATGCTCGTAGTCGCACATAAGCACCTGTGACTAAGTTGGTATCTCATAGATAATGCCTCTCTGGCTTTAGTCTTATCAATATGTATTTACATAGGGGACGTTCCCATAACCTTCCGGTTTGTGTATCAGTAATGTCAGAGGCTAATTACAATGCAGCGTTGCTTATCTTCCCTGTGCAAGGTGGAGTATTTCTTACATGAACTGCTCCATGACTTGATTAACTGGTAGACACTCAAGAGGCTTGAAAATAACTTATCTACTGAATCACAGCCTTGTTTGAGGGAGGGGAGGGAGAGAGAGGGCCAGCATTTATAACCTGTGAATGTACCCACAGTCATCTCAAGTATCTGCAGCAGGAAAGCAAGGTTCCCGAATTTGGGATGAGTATTTATGCATTCTTAAACAATATTTACTCCTGTGTTTCACTCAGCATGCTTTGGAAAAGTGTGGCAATTCTGGTAAGAGATGGGTCTTCCAACATAAACACTGTCGTGTTCTCATTGCAGGGTGGCCTTCAGGAAGTGGCGGATCAGCTGGATTTGCAGCGAATTGGACGACAGCACCAGGCAGGATCGGACTCTCTCCTCACGGGAATGGCGTTCTTCAGAATGAAAGAGGTACTGTGGTGTTCTTCTTTACAGTTCTCCTTTCTCCAGTTCCTATCCATAAATGTCAATCTGCACAACGTGGTTTTTGTTTTGGTTTTTTTTTGGGGGGGGGGCTTTTTTTTGAGCTTTGTGGCCATCGCACTTCAAACTGTCAACAATAGGAAGTGTTGATATTGGCACAGACTTTTGTTTACTCCTCTTTCATGTACCTCCTTTAATTCACATGCTGCATCTTAGAGGTGGCTGACTTCAAATAAGCTGTTTAATTTACATTGGGAGGTTTCTGATTTGGAGGCACAGCTAAACAATACCCATTTCTTCCTTTTCTTAACCTGCAGTTGTTTTTTGAGGATACAATTGATGATGCAAAGTACTGCGGGCGGCTGTATGGCCTCGGCACAGGAGTGGCTCAGAAACAGAATGAAGATGTGGACTCGGTCCAGGAGAAAATGAGCATTTTGGCTATTATCAACAACATGCAGCCGTGATGAGCGGCACCCCTCAGCACAACGTGGTTTTACCATATTGGCAGCTGCTGTCCTCAGCCATTTTCCCTAATACTGTCTCAAACAAAAGGCATCTACAGCACATCCAGCCTGCACAAAGTCTGCAGTTCTGCTGAAGAGCAACATCTTCATTTGAAACCCACAAGAAGAGAGTTGAATGAATTCCTAATGCCAGCATTTGTGGTTTGCCATCTTTTTAATACCGAGGGCAAAAGAACCTACTGTACATACCTCTGTTTTTTTCCTCTTTATACTGTACAGAATCTGCAAGGAAGGGTAGAATATTGAGTAGGGCTGAGGGTCTGGAAATCCAGTGAAAATGGACACAGACATGCACACAGATTTGTAAATTGTGCTTTATAAAGCTTATTTTAAAACTTCTGCATGTTGTGAGGGTGACTACTTCACCTCATGTGTTGCTTATTTTATCTTGGTGTGGTCTGTGGAAATGGCTCCCTTTGATCACTGTGGAGGTTTGGTAACAGTGACATTAAAAATGATCCTTGCAGCTAAAAATATTCAGAGATTTGCTTGAACAACAGTGGGGATGGATATTCCTGGAGCTGATTTGAACAGCTTCCATAGTTTCTAATTCTGTGTGGTACAGGTTGACCCACACTGAGCCTCAGCTTAGTTCTTACGGGTATTAAGAAACTGTTCTGGAAATAGCTTGAGGCCTAGAAGTTTGCCTTTGGCAGAGACTTGGACCAATGCTTTGACTTTAGTTTTCACTTAACCTCCAAATTTTATTCTTCTCCTTGCAACACAAGAACTTCAGGATCAATACTTGATCCTCTTCTCCAGCCCCTAATTTTACTGTCTGCTTAACAACAAATGAAACAGCTCCCTTTCTTTTCATTATAAACATCTGAAGTCATTAGAGGATGGAGGAACAATTTGGGATTCTGACTTTTTAAACAATGAGCTATTCTATTTTCAACAGCTCTAATATTTCTTAAAAGCCCCTTTAACCCTTTTGGACATGGCAAGCTTAAAATGTTAAGACTTTATCTTGCATTTTAAACAGGCTTAACTGATCCATGAGTAGGAGCCGAGGTTTAGAGCTAGTTTTTCAAATGCTTGTAAATACTACTTGTTTTTAATTTTTGTAAAATAAATATTTTTTTTAAACCAGGTTTTGGTTTGGATTTTCCATCAAGCACTAAAATTCCCAAAATTGAGGCTTTAAAGTTGTGATACGTGCTTAAAGATGCTCAACTTTACCATTTATGATGTGTTACTGTGGTAGTTCTCAGTAAAATCTGCTTTTGAGGTTATTGTACAGGAGCTGATGGAAGTTGAGCTCAAGCTGTCTTTGGGGAACTGGTGTGCTCTTCCTGCTCACCTTAGCACAGCTGGTGGTGTTGAGTGTTCTTTCAGTGCAGTATTAGCCAAAGCTGTTTCACTCGTGTTCTGTGTGAAGTTCCTGTGCTCCATCTAAATTTGCTGCTTGAAGCGCAAGAGGCGGTTCGGTGAAGCACTGGCTCCCCCTCCTGGTTTGCAAATACTTTGCACAGAATGTGGCAAGTTAAAGTTAGTGGCAGCAGTTTGCTGCATTAACGCATCTTGTAGTATAACCCCCAGCATTCATGTACTGCTCTTCACGTTGTTCTGAGGCTTTACTCAGCCTGGAGCAGGAAATTATCAGTAGCAAGTCTGCGTTTTGTCTGGAAAGAATCTGGAACAGGTCTTGATCTGATAAATCCATTCCTCCTACTCCTATTGTATTTAGAAACTGTCTAGATTCATGACACCCCTTACCCCATCCTACCACACTTTTTGCTGCAATTGAAAACTTGCTTCTAGAAATTACTAAGATATATGCTGTGGTCACTAAGGCTTATGCAGTCTTGTTCTTTTCTTAAGAAGAGTTAGTTTTGCTAACAAGACAGGCAAAGCCCTCCAGGTAAGCTGTTAAGAGTGGCTGAAGTGTTGAATGGGCAAGACCCTGTAATTTAGGGTTGGTTTTGGCACTTCTAAAACAGCATCTTTTCTAGAGTACTTGATATAGTACCTTGAATTTACCACTGCTGGAGCAGAAACCACTTTGTTCAGCCACGTATGTTGCCAAAAGCAGGGACTTTTCTTGACCTAGAAAAATCCCTTACCTTTTGCTAGTTGTGCTGGAAACAAATATAGAAGATCTCACCCTCCCTATTACGTTGCATAGGTGGCTTCACCATGCAAAACTGAATCACAGCACACTTATCTACTAACTTTGATTTACAGAGTATGTTTAACAACAAAACCACCCCAGGCTTATTTTCAGTACCTGTGCCTTTGACTGATACTGATTTCTATACATCAAATGAAATGCCAGTTCATGCTGGTAGAAGACTTTATTGAAAGGAGGGAAGATAAACTCACAATACTTTTAAGAACAATACTTAGGTAAGGGGCAGTTTGCTTACAGAAACCATTGTTTTTCTTCAGGGTAGCTACTATTCCTTCTCTGCTGAAAAACAAATATAGCTGCTCCAAACTGCTTCTCTTGCATGTCAGTAGTAAGAGCTTTCATTAGCATAACTTCCATCAAATAAAAAAAGACTATACAAAACTCCTGTATACAGTTCAAGCCCACAACCTACTGCCTTGCAATTTGCTAACACAGTCTCCTTAAGGAGTAGTAGTTGACTGCAAGTGAGTCTGTATACTCCTGATTTATTGTGGTTTTATCCAGAATTACCCCAGCCATCAAAACAAGCCTTCACTTGAAGAAAGAAGAGCCGTGGTAGTGTAGGAAGCTCAAGGGAGACAGTGTGGTCTCAAGATGTCACGTCAAGAACCTCCTGCCACCCTTCCTATAGGCACCAGCACTGCCGTGTTTCCGAAGGAGATCCAGAGCCTGTTCCAACAGCTTAGGAGGACACTGTGACCCAGTGTGAAGGAACACAAGGCAGCACTCCAGCACATCCGGGAATGGGAAGATCTGCAAGACAACAAACACGAGGTGATGTCTTTCAATTATAATTGTTCAGCTATAACATACCTGAGGCAGCAGCTCTCCAAAGACGCTGCTCTGCAGTATCTTTAGAACAGATGATAGTCATAAATTGAATGTATTTTTGACTCTTCTTCCAGTGCATGAGCATTACCTGTAACCAGGTTTGCCCCCTTTTGCACAATCACCATGATTACCTTTAGTTATATTATAGACTAAAGAACAGAGGGGATGAGACAACCTAGGCAACACTGTTTTCAAACATGTCATGTGTAGTTTTTATAGTTCCTAAATGCCATTTTATACCTTAAATTTCTGATCTATCACAATGATTTTTGCTTACATAATTAATTCTAAGTAACAAGGGATTACTTTTAAAATGCATGGGAGAGATTCATTCAGAATACCCTTCCAACACAAACCATTCTATGACTCTGTGAATATCCCATTAAGTTTTTCCATGCAGGATCTTCACCTATACTTCCCAACTGTATGGAGAAACTCATGCTTTAAAGAAAGTTATCACCCTGATGCCATGTGTCAGTTCTCTCTCAAAACTGCCACAGGATCAGAAAGAAAGTCACTTTTCCTTACTTTCTGTATGAAAGGGATTCTATGAGGAGGCTGCCCCTTATAAAAAGACTGTCTTTTTCCAGAACCACAATGTCTCTTCTGAAAACTTACCTTCAAATTGTCTGGAAATTCTGCTAGTTTCTCCTTTGCTTTCAGAAGTTGCTTTGTGAGCTCAGGTAGCGTAATTGGTTGCTTTACTTCATCCTTACTGTCAAGAAAAGAGCAGCTGCTGTGAACAACCGGTTTGCTTAACTGACCACATTGCCTCTCCTTGTACAGCAAGCACAGGAGAGAGCTGGACAAGTGTAACATGCTCTAGCTCATTCTTGCCAAAGTCCTAAGTAACTGTTCAGCAAAAAGACAGACCTCTTAGACCACACTTGTCCTTTTCATTATCCCTCCCCTTCTCAGGCTGCCCTATTTATTCACTGTAACAACAGACCCTGTGTATCAGGGAATTCTCCAGCTGCAATAAGTGAATGTATACGGTGGCTGAGCCCCAAGAAAATGCAAGACTTCTGAAGTGTTGAAAGCTGTATGTTAAAGTGTCCCTGGGTGATGATCTTGAGATAAGAGGCAATCTGAGATAAGAGGCAATCTGAGCTAAGCAAGAAATCTGCTGCACAAACACACACAAGCAGCAAAACTTTCAATCCATTCATTCATGTTCTGAAGCTTACCCATTCAGCTGGTTGCTGTCAGAGTGTGGTTTGTCTGAACTTTGCTCCAGGTTACTTTCCTGGGTGCTTCCAGTTGTGTTTTCCTGGAGATTATTCCTCTCCTGCTGATGCTGACGGATCATACCTGCTAAAATCTGCTGGACCTCAGCTATATCTCTCTGGGTGTTCTGTAAAGCAGCAATCTCTTCTACAAGAAGCACTTTGCAGCCATTCAGTTCTGACTGTCTGTCTACTAAATCAACCGAGGTAGTTCTTGAGTCACTTTCTGCCTCACTTCTCTGAACAGTTGTATGGCAGCAAGTTTCATCCATCTCAACTGCACTTCGATCAGGAGTTTCTTCAGAGGAGGACTGACCTGAAATATAACTCTTCTCAAGACCTGTTTGCTCACTGGGACACAGCACAGGACCCAAAGCCTTTTGTGAAGCAAGGGAGTTTTTGGGTGGGTTCCACCACAGGTCATACAGCAGTCCATAAGCCACGAAGCCCTCTAAACTTCTACAAGCATCCATGCTCTGAGGATGTGTGCTGTCCAGTTTGTGTCTCAAGTTATCACAGCCTAGTAAAGAAAAACAAACACCAAAAACCAAGCATTACAAATAGTTTCTACAACTTTCTGAAGAAAAAGAGGTTTAAATTAACAGCTATTCCCAGAAATCCAAACCAGAGATTTACTTGGATGCTGGTGGAGCGGTGCAGGAAGCGAGGAAGCAAAGGCAGACATGTTTGCCATCTTTTTAAACACAGTACTCTGTTCTACCATGAGACCGCATGTCTGAATTTTGATGGCCCAGTAGCCCTTGCACTAGCCAAATTCCACAGGTTTCCACAGATATGGGTATGTCTTGCTCCTTCCAAGCATTATTATGCCTATTGATAATAATGGACACTTACAGGGAAGATCCTGCTGTCTGTCAGTGCCAAGAGAAGAGCCTTACCTTCAGGAAGGATGATCCTGCAAATCTCCTGCATCAGAGTGAAATTACCAGCATCATAACTGCGGGTCACGGCTCCAAGAATACTCTTCACTGCCTCATGCCAAGTAGCACTCCGATAGCTCAGGGCTGCAAGGCTCAGGTCATGGGAGATATGGAAAAGCACCTACAGGAAGCACCAGGGAGCATGATGGAATACTGTAAAGTATGAACATTGAGGAGGAGCAAAGAAACACAGCACTTAACCAAAAGCAATTTTAGCAACAGTGCAATTTACATAGTCGTCTTCACACAGGTGATAAGAGCACTTCAACATTACTTATAATGGTAAACTCAGCAGCTGTGCTTGTGTCCTACTAAACAGATGAGAGATGGGAGCACATCAAAGGTCAATGACAAGAGCTGCAGGAGCACCAGGCAATGAACAGACCTTCTGAACTCCAGAGTGTTTTAATAACAAGCAGCCCTGACTCCAACAGCTCGACACAAAGCCCTAAATCAGTGCTGAGTCCACTCAGCTCTGCCAGTCACAGCCAGCACATCTCAGTGCTTGTCACTGACACCATCTGTCAGTTCTTACCCTGCACAGAAACAAATGCAGACAAACTGGTGGCTATGTAAGCTGTCCCAGCTGCCTATAATCTATTTCTCCCACATTATAGCCTCATTCTGCAACAGGGTGCCAACACCAGCCCCTAGGAATGGCTGGCACAGCACCACCGGTTGTGTTTTCCTGCATCTGCCATAGTAAAGCTTAGTGTGCATATGGATCTAAATCCATTTACCTGCTTTGGGTGTGTGTTGCTGGTAGAAGGAGGATGCTCAACACTATGCAGCTGCTCCCATGCACATGTGGCTTGTTCAGTGGTGTCCATGCCCAGTACATTCTGCCACACTTCTACCACCATGTCCAAAAATGAGGCCTCTCTGTTGAGCTCCCAGCTGTGGTAGCAGGGAGGCACAGGGCTCTTTCGGTTGCAGGGATTTCTTTCACTAAGGCA